TTATAAATCTTAAAATTTCTACCGGCCTACATTTCAGATAAAATTTGGTCCAGTTGAACCTAATACAAACCACATTTAAATATTTCAAGATTATGAGCTTAGATTTTAAATATAATTTTTATATCCGCCTTTAAGTTTACATAAATATTAAACAGAATTCAAAATGGTGCCATGAGTTTTTTGGAGATCCGGGGCATTTTTTTTGTAATGTAAAGAATATTCCAGTTAGAACAATTTAGTAAAATACCTTTCCTTTCTCCATTTTCCACAAACAATGGGCATTTGTTATCTACACCTCAAATTTACATAATTTCTCTTTTTTCCTGAGACACCTGGAGTTTAATTAATGACAGGTGTCGGCGGAACAATAGACTCCAACACCTCAAAAGGAAATTCCCATCATCCGCATGGAGACTACAGACATCCGTACATATTTTGCCATTAGTGGAACAAGGCTTGCATGGTGTCTCGGTGTGTGTGTGTGAGTGGATTATTGGCTGACATAACATGGAAAAATACTTTCATTATTCTTCTGGCCGGCATCATATTTCAAATCCGAGCGAGCTGTCTTTCTACAAATTAATTTGCCAACATCCTCTTTTCATTTGGAAAATCGCTGTGCACTCAAACGGGGCCATGAGTGCGAGAGGAAAATAAATATTTTGATTTTCCTTTTTTTGTTGCTGCTGCTGTGGCAGAGATCTCCAACACACAGCCATAGGTGTTAAGGTCAATGGTGAGTTGTGGAATTGAGGACAAGCCATTTATATCCGTTTGTAATTTTTGGCACTTTCCAAAAGAGAGTGTGAGTGTGAAGGTATGGGTGTGTCTGAGAATCTAAAATCCTATTACAGAGACATGTGTACGTGTACGTGTATGTGTGTGTGTGTGTGTGTGGGTGAGTGTTATATGACATTTTGTGTAAAAGTAAGCCACCATAATCATTTATTTCTTGGCAGAAAGATTTTGAAAATTCTTGTTTTACCCCGCCCCTCCCAAGGATTTCCAACTAATGACTGCTGCCAGCGAGGCCGACAGAGTTGTGAAAAGATTACCTTTCTGGCGACAATGTTGGATTGTTTCTCCTTTCTTTCTTTTGTTGGCTGGATGACCCATTTAGAAGACATTAACCAAACCTTTCTTTCCTTCCTTCGATGGTCATTGACAGGGTATTTCCTCTAAATGGAATCGCAACATTGCCATAAACATCCCCATCGGCAGGGCTTTTGTTCTTTTCGGTAGATTTAGAAGAAAAGACCTAATGGAGTGCCTAAATACTGTTTTTCTTTTTCAAAGAAAAGGAAAATAAAGGCATTCAAGTCTTCCCCAACTCCATGTGGACTCCCACGATTGTCATGGAGGATGTCGTCGTAGAGCCTATAAAAACAATGAATTCTTTTTTTTTTTTGCTAAATCAATAACAAATCCATTAATTTGTTTAGAATATCCTATTTGTAGCTGTGGGAGAGACAAAGGAATTTTATTTCGTTTGGTTGTGTGTTCATACTCGTACATATGCTATTGTTTATTCCTTTTAAAAAATCCAGTTTAATGGCCATGGAATGTCTTCTGTCTTTTTTTGTGACCTTTTCTTGCTTTTCGTACTGTCGGCCTTCCTCGGTTTGGCTTACCAAATGTTCCAATTCGATTTAAATTATTTCACATTACGCCTGTGGATTTGCATTAACCGAATGCCAAGGCATGTGGAGAAGGGTTTTGATCGGCAGCAATGACTATTTTGGTGTCCTACACCAGTACAATTATTAAATGAAAAAATATATAAAAAAATCGAAAGGGAAGTATCTTCCTTCATCGCTGGCCTTAATGCTACCAGTGCCGTGCTTAAAAATGCTTGCTGAAACCATATTGTAGGTTTTAACATGAAAAGAAGAAAGCTGGGTCTCTGTCGACGCATATCTGTCGACATTTCGACTAGAGTTGTGGTAATCTAGTTCGATCGATCAAACTTGTTCCCTATCTAGATCCATGGACTCCGGTCTTTTATATGAAAACCCTGCGTATGAGTGATATGAAATAAACATCATTTATGAAATCACTCATACGTCATAGTGCACTGAACTATGAACTAATTTCGACTGATACTTTCTAAATTGCTTGTGCTCCATAGCTGTAAGAATTTAAACAAATAAACCCAAAAATAAAAATTTCAAAAGGATAGGGTAGCATCTTTGGAGTAATAATTTTAGTTGTTTAAGTATTTCCTGCCTTCAAAATATTTTACAACCAAACACAGCTGTAGGGCGCAAAAAGTTCTTCCTTTAATGTTTGCCAACACCAATAACAATGCGAAATAAAAAAACAACAACAACAAAACCAATACTGTCTGTGCCAATATCAACAAAATGTTGAAAAACACTTTTGTTTTAAAAAGTTTGTTCTTCTACGCTTTCTGTGTAACTTTGCGGAAGGGTTAATCCGATGGAGGCGTCCAAACGAAGACAAGTGTTAAGGATGCAAAGTTTTCACTTTTGTTTTTTTTTTTGATGGAGGGAGGGATTGAGGGGAGGTTTTGGATTGAAATGGCTTCTGGTTGCTGCAGAGTCCAGTGAAAAGGCGTTAAATTTATTTGGCACTCTAATGAATACTTAAACTGGCAGTAAAATCGAATGAAATGGAATGGCATGGTATGACATGGCGTGTTTGTCCCCATTCGGGTCCCCCGAAATGTGGGTGCCATTGAATCGAATGTGGCTATAAATATTCAAACAGGAAATCAAATTAGAAAGCAGAGAGAAACAATTAGGAAGGCATTAGACGGACATTACAGTTTGTTAGGCGTTTTATTGGCACTCGAACATTCCGACACGTAAGATAAATGGCTTGGTGTCTTTACATTCGTAATGCTGGTGCAGAGTCGTAAAAATTGTGTAATTATGAGAATTTGTAAGTGGCGGGAGTGTGAACGCACATTTTTGTAGTCGAAACACATATATGAGACTGCAAAGTAGATTCTAGGAATTTTTAGAGGAACCCATGAATATTAGGATAGAATTAGAAATAAGAGTTGGGTTTGGGTAGCGAAATTTACCAACTTGGAAGTTGTGCGGTATTGGTGTTTGAACCGTAGATTCTGGACGTGATTTTTGAAACGTGTGAGGAATCCAGGTTTGTTTGACCTTACTCGCGAGTATTTTCCCTCGTTTGAGAGCTTGAAGAGTACGAGTTTTACAAGGCGTTAACTCTCCACACTTTTATTCAATGCGGGAGCACTCGCGGGTATTCCTGCTTAAAATAGCGGAATGGGAGTCAATTTGTTTGAAATAATGTAAGGGATTACACTAAGAGTGAAATCGAGTGATATTTAACTTTTACTGATTTGTGTGTGGGTGCGTGTAGTAGTAGTAAACAGTTTTTGATGTTGCTTTGGACTGGTGGAGATCGTATACAAAAGCCAAGAAGATTAACAGCAAAGTTAGATTATCTGTACAACAAAAGCAACCAAGTAGTCATATGATTTGCTGGTAGAGATTGGCGGTAAATATCTCTAAGTTATGTGTTTTTGTTTCGTTTGCAGATGTCTTATGACAAAAATCAGGAGAAAACTCGAGGAGAGAAAAATCTACTCCATTTGGAGCAGATTCTACTCTCACTCGAATACTGTCTGTGCCAACATCAACGTGCTCTAATTCGAGTGTTATATAAAAATATAGAGTAAACTCAGTTTATCTTTACTACTCGCAGATGAGAGCTTCACTCTCTACTCGAATTCGAATGGGAGTACTTCTGCGAGAAGGAATAAGAAATCGAGTTACTCTATTTTTCTCAGCTACTCTATATTTCTTTTCGAAGCTGTGGACATCTGTGATGTGTCGACACTTCCCATCTTCCAAAATAGTTGTTGTTGTTGTTGTAGCCGTTCAAACTTTCGTGTTCTTTCAGTATAATCTGGTTCTGCTTGTTACTCAAAGTTCAAAAAGAGACATCCTCAATTTATCGGAACTTTTCTCCATTTTTTCATAAAATACGGTGCCTAATACGACTTGCTAGTTAATGAGTGTATACCTTTAAAAATTAAATGGTGGCAAGTTACGCCACTCCTGGTCCTTGACCGATGAACTCTTGCTGTATCGAGCTATTCTGGTGGAGGGGCCATTCCTTTGACAAACGTGGAGCTATCGAATTACCCCTCCGGTCATTAGCTTACTACAATTTTAATGAGCGTTGAAGTCCCAGCAGGCTATAGCTATTAAATTTGTTCCACTATTCAATGGTAGAATGTGGCCGCTACCCCCACGATGGGCTACTATATATCATCAGGTTTAGCCGATATAGATCTGCACAGAATGAAATGATAGGATATGATTGATATTCCTTCACATATAGGTCGAACATTTCTAGATTCAGATGTTACCAAAGTTCATTTCTTGGATCTCCGTGCATAGAAGCAGGTGGATCCTATCGCTCTACTTCTGAAGTGGTTTTAGTTTTGGAATGCACAAATTCCCTTCATTTCTTACATCTCTTCCAACCCTATCTTCGGAATAAGAAAACTACAAACATTTAAAACAAATCGCCGTCCTAAGTTACCAGACCTTGATCGGAACACTGTTTTTGGTATACACGTTGGTATATAGAACCAGTTACCTATTTGAATATTAAAACTCCTTAACATGGAAAAATGTCTGGGCATATCCTTGAGAATTTTGATATATTAAATCGAAAGTTTGAAGGTCTTGGAACTCGGGTTTAAGGTTTAGGATAATGGGTCATTGGTGCAGGGCTAGGAGTAAATTGAGATCGGATTAAAGAACGTCATTTCCGGATTTATTTTACCCCACACGAAAGGTGATCATAATGGATAAAATTAAATTGACAGAACTTAGGTTATTAACTCTGAACTAAAACCTCATTGACCATTGAGAGACTCATTGACCTCAGAATAAAGGGTCGTTGACAACGGTTTCAGCTCGGATTAACAGTCCTCAGACCTATCAATATAAAGTGATTCTGAAAAAATAAAAACATTGCATTGAACTTACCTAAAAATGCTGGAATGGCGCCCAATGGCATTACAAAGAGGCTAACCAACAGATCAGCTATTGCCAATGAGAACAGAAAATAATTGGTGACATTCTGCAGACGGCGATCCAAGGCCACGGCTAGACACACCAAGATGTTGCCCAGACCACCGGCGAATATAAAAAAGAGGACAAAAAGAAATCCAAAATCGAAACCTTTAACCGGTGGTGTTGTTGGACCAATGAGATCGCCATGCCAATCCGAACCGTTGATGGTATCGGGAAATGTTGTCAGAGATGAATTCGCAGCGAGTGTGGAATTGAGTAACGATAAACTCCATGGCCATAAATCATCATTCCATGTTGTGGTGGTGGTGTTCATTATTGCTGTTGTTGTTGCTCCTGCTGCCGTGCCATGGGCCCAAGAAGTTGTGTTGAGAAATGCTTGAGTGGAGGGTGCACTCCACGCTGCTGGCATGCTGTCATGTAAAGATTCCAAGGATGCTTTAGCCATTTCGGGTAAATTTTGAAACACAAAACATCGAACATTATTGCTTAGTGTTGCGGCAGCCGAGGAGGAGTTGGCGGCGGATGCGGAGAACAGAGGCGTCTTGTCGCAGAGCATTGTGCGCTGAGGGCAGAGGCGGGTAGAGTCACTGAGCATCACTGTATCACTGTAATTGTCATTAATACTTGTTGGTGTTGTTGTAATACTTGTTGTCATAGTTTCATCTATGCTCATCATATGGAGCGGATGCTGATGAAGATGATGATGATCATGTCCTTGTGGATGTGGATACTTAAAGGACAATTGGAATTCTTGAAGTGGTTGTTGCAAATCATCGACAATTACTTTCAAACGTTCCACACATTTTTGCACGAACTCCGCAGATGAGGAGGAAGTGGTGGGGTATGATGATGATGACTGCGGCGATGGCGATGAGGACGAGGACGAGGACAGGCGCTGAATTGAGGCAGGGTCTGAGAAGAGGGGAGGCAACTGATTTGATTCCTGTGGCATTTGAGTCTGGTGTTTGTTGGATAACACCGGAATTGTATTAAGGCAGCTGTAATGTGTTGTTGTTGTTGGTGGTGGCGGTGTTGTTGGCGATGTTGTCGTTGCCGAGGATTGTGGTGCTGCAGTCGATGAGGTTTCGAGTATACAATGGAATGTGTGAAACAATTTGGATTCGGAACCATTATCCTCCGACATGGTATCATTCCATGTGGAGGTGATGTTGTGGTTGAGGGGTGTCGTAGTTTCAGATAGTTGGGTTTGAGCTGCCTCACACCACATATGAGGTGTGTCGCTCTCATTTTGGCCCTCCTCGGTGGCACCTGGCCTGAATCGTCGCCAACAAAATGTATCAAACATTCTTTCATTGCTCTTGCCGTTAGTGCTGGCGTTGTATTCGTTTTGTGTTGTTGTCGTCGAGAACATTGTTGTTGTTGCTGCCGTTGTCGTTGTTCTCGTATTAGTCGCTGTAACTCTGTCACTGACATTTGTTGCGGTTGGTCGAAGACCAAGTCTTTGTTGCAAATCCATTTCATTCTAAAGCTGTTTGACAAGCTCCGAATTAGTCTTTTGTTGCCTTCAAGAACAGGGGCCTACTCGCTCTCCCTCTCTCTCTGGGTTTTCAATGATTTTCTGCAATGGAAAAAAGAAAAAGCAACAAATTTAGAAAAATCCTCTTGGAAATACAATTAAAATGTTTAACAGATTTATTGCTTTTCGATGACATCTAAACAAGGAGCAGCCGTTGATCGGCCCCGGCATCGGCCCCACCAGACATAAACATAATTAATTTGTGGTCATAAATCATGGAGCAGTTGAGCGAGCGCTCGTTCTTTCGTTGGCAACACTGTTTTGTGATTTATGTTAATTCGTTGTGAGTAACGCTCTGGCGCTGCCTCACTGGGCCCCGAAAATTGTTTCCACATACTTGGGACAATAGCAATGAAATTTCAATCAGATTAAATTAATTATGTTCCATGGCTGCAACTGGAAAGTTGGGATGGAGGGTGGTCAGGAGTGGCGGTAGATCGAATGAATGGCATTGTGAGTAATATTTGGTTATACTTTTTGACACTCTTGAATTAATCATTCTCACTTTTATTTGCCACTACTCAAATGCTATTGTAATTTATCATTTTTCGTGGCGAAACTTTGGGAGGATGTTGGCTACGAGTTCTGGTGGGCTTTTAGTGAGGTGCCATTAGGAGAAGATTATGGGGAGTTGGATTTATTAATGATATTCACCGTTTGAGAAAGTTCGTTTAAATAATGAAGATAATCATGCACATGGAACTCTTTGTAGAGAGTTTATGGTATCCTGGATATTGACAGGGGTGAAAGAGTTAATATAGGTGAACTTTGAATAGAAATACAAATCTTACAGTGCCAAGATTCGAATTAGAAAGCTCTGCTATATTGGGGCTATACAAAAACTTGATATGTGTCGACAGGAGGGTTTACTTCGTCATTATAATCAACAATATCAAACCTCTGTCTTAACATGGACCAATACATATCACCATCCTACCTGTTGGAAAATGCTGTTTTCTAGTAGTTTCTCTAATGGCAACGCCAGTAATGGAGCGACATGTTAAATTCGCTCTGAGAGAAGTACTTTGAAATTGAAGTTCAGGAGAGAAAACTGAACCAAATTCCAAAGCTTTATTATATTGAGCAACAGTGACCTCAGTATTTCTACCAACATAAGATCTAGTATAAAGATGGTAGAGACCGGAACATTTCTTCTTGTACCTCCCCCACAAAGGGTCAAAGTTTTGAATAAACAGCACATTTTTACATAGTACAAACCTAGTCCAAACCTGGCTTTTCACAATATTTATATCGTAGTTAGTTTTGTCCGATACGAAATGAACAATATTGGCCCATTCCGTCGGAACCTACACCATAGAAGGTCAACAATTTGAATAATCATCACATAAGTCAAAATCCGACTGATAACATTTATCTTGTTTTTGTACACATTTTACTTTTTATTTTGGCTAGGGGGCCGACCTTCTGGTAAAAACATTAAAAAGTTCAAATTCGCGCAAGAAGAAAACCAAAATTAACCAAATTTAAGCCTTGGATCTGAATTCGTTTTAAAAATGGCAAGTTCGATAATTAAAAATTCAACCTCATAGTAAAGGGTACCACGTTAGAGAAGAGCAACCCAGGTAATTGCATGCCTACTTCGACGAAGTTATTAAAACTTGATCGGATGATAGTTTTTTTGAGCTTTTTTTTAATTACCAAATGCCTTCGATAGATAAAGTGCCCCCAATTTACACTTACTGTTCTGGATTAGACCCCAACTAGTGTATGTGGAAATGGCGCCCAACGTTCTTCCGATATTTATTGCGGGTAATTAGTTGCTGATTAGCTATCTTTGATAATGGAGAGAAGTAATGATTCAAAAGTCTTCGCCATTGGCAGATATCTTCAGCTGGCTTATGTAGCGAAGATATACTGTCCATCTTCCAGGTTTCGGAAACATTTGAAATAAATAGATTTCTGAAAGAATAGGAAAAGTTAGGGAAAGATTGAGGAACTTCTGGATCAATTCTACTCCTTCCTCATCCAGTGGTTTAACATCCACATTCTAAAAATATTTTATTACAACTTCACTTTATCTTGGCTAACTAAGGAATAAGTAGAATTTCTCGGCTAAGAATCAGCTGCAGAACGTTTTTTTTACATTTTTTTCGACATTCCTGATTTGTGTGTAGAAACTGCTTTTAGGAAAAAATGGACACCGCCTTAGCTGAAATACGGCATAGGAAAATTCCTGGCAGAGGAGCACATCCCTGCATTTTTACTGTCTAGGTTGGCAACTATAAGGTAGTCTCTAACGAACGAATTGAAGGGCAGTTTATTGATTTCTTTGGTTGTGCTCTTATTTTAGAGTTTCGCCCAATTTGTGAACTTTGAAATCTCTGACAAAACACTTTTTAATTCAAAAACTCACTTTCTCGCATTTCTTTAAACATTTTATCTAAATTGTATCCACAGTCATATGGCTGCTGAGGCCATATGCGCAAATTCGGGTCAAAATTGTGACTAAAACATTCTGAAAATCTTAAATTTGTCGGTACAGTTGTATGGGGGCTATACCAAAACGTGGACATATTTAGCCCAAAGGTCCTGCAGACCTAACACACATCTGAGTAAAATCTTATCAACCTACTTCGATTGGTTCGGAAGCCAGAGTGATTTTCACAGACGGACGGACATCGCTAAATCGACATAGAATTTTAGGCAGTTCAAGAATATATGGTATACTTTGTGGGGTCTAACATTTATGTTTCGCGGTGTTACAAACGGAATGACAAACTTTTATATACCCTCCATTCTATGGTGGAGGGTATGAAAAAGGGAATATATGGACAAGTGATCAAAAGATGATCATGCTTGTTATAATCAATACCTAAAACCCCATTCCGACCACTTACACTTGCCACTCAGTACTTATATTACTTCCACACTCTTATCTCTCCCAATATGTTCCCGCATTCCGTTTTCTCTTTTCAAATTCCTTTATTAAAAGCATCTAAAATTTCAGCACAAGTTTCAAATAAATTTTCTTGTTTAATAATTCAGTAGTTTTTTTTTGTTTGGTTTCTAAACATTATTTTTATTATTCGATTTTATTTTCTGTTTATGAGGACATCGACTATTGAATAAATTTTTGTGGAAATCATGGTTTTTTGTTTTTATGGCCACACGAGATGTGACTCATTATCGAATGAATGGAAATGATGGTGATGGCAATGACGCTGGCGATGATGGCAATGATGACGATGATGATGTTGAGTGGAACAGACATCAACACTAATTGACAGCATTGCCGAAAATGCAAATGTTCATCAAAGCAATGAGGCGGACGGACACTGAGTTTGTGTCGATGTTGTTTTGTGCTGTTTTGCTAATGCTATTAACGGAGCTACTAATTGTCCACCCCAAATACAAAAAAGAACAAGCTAGGACACACACACACATATACAAGCAAACATTTCAATGAGCTCTGATATGCTGCCTCATTAAATTGGGAAAATACTTTGCATCCTGACAAGAGTTTATGTAAATTATTTTAATTTGGAAATAATTTAAAACATTTCGAGACGATAATGAATGGAAGGTAGGCAGGCTGATTGGACGACCGAATGACTAGCTGGCTACCTGTTTGTTTAATTCGTGTTTTATGTGTGCACAGTGTTTTGAAACATCATGAAATTTGTCAATACTTATGAAAGTATTATTTACTATGTTTTTGGAACCTGAAATTTTGGATTTATTTTTAGAGAGCCGTTAGATTATTTAATTTGTATATCCTACACCTTAGAGTGGTAAGGGTATTATGTCTTTGTGCACTTGTTTTGTATCATGGAGAAGGAAGCGAAATAGACACGTAGTTCCTTTTGATGATCTGCATAGAGTCACATTCTGAATCGATTTATGTATGGCCGTCCGCCCGTCTGTCCATGTATTCTAGTGAATAAAATGCAGGTCGCATTTATTATCCGATTGAGATGAAATTTTGTTTGGCCCAAGGATTTGGTGAGAATTGCTTCAAATTTAGATATAGCTCCCATATACATACACTTCAACCGATTTCGGGTTAATTGTGCACCAAATGATCAATATCTGTGTAAATGATTTCAATTTTTGCGTATCTGACCGATTTCAGTCTAGAAGCAAGTACATCAAATTTGGTGAGAATTGGTTCAGATATAGCTATTTTATTCGATTTGGGGTTTAAGTCCTTCACAAGCGTAACATGCCCTCGACATGAATGATATTTGGTACCAGATAACTTTTGGAGCTCAAAAATACTTCAGTCTCATACTTAATACTTAGTCCTCAAAAGGACTTCAAATTTGGTGAAAATCAGTTCAGATATAGCTATAGCTCCCACATATATGTTTCGTCCGATTTCGGGTTTATGTTTTCACACTAGTAAAATGCACTCTACAAGGATGATATTTGGTACTAGACAACTTAAGGAGCTCAAAAATACCTCTGTCAAATTTAATCGAGAGCGGATCAGATTAGGATATAGCTCCCATATAAATAATTATGCGATATCAGGTTGATTGTGTACAAAATGTCTAATATTAGCCCAAACGGATTGAATTTTGGCAATTCGAACTCAATTCATCCTAGAAACAATTACATCGAATTTGATGAAAATCGGTACAGATATAGCTATAGCTCCTACATATATGTTTCATCCGATTTTGTGTTAAAGTCCCTCACATGTGTAATATGCACCCCACAACAATGGTATTTGATACCGGGTAACAGATACAGCTCAAAAATACCTCTGCCAATTTTTATAGAGATCGATTAAGATTTTCATATAGCTTCGATATACATCTTCATCCTATTTTACGGTTATTGTTCACCATCTATGTAATATCAGCCCAATTATTTTGATGAAACTCGGACTGGTATATCTGTTGCTTCAATATTTTTAAATATAATATTTGTCGAAGTCATATCATGCACATACAGCAATGTTATTTGGTTCATAGTTGGTATTGGTTAAATTCCCAATATAAACTTTTTTTGTTACGGGAGCTCTACGAAATACGCATAGTGGTTTAGGGTATCATAAAGTAGGCCCCACCCGACTT